TATCATGCAATGATACGTAAATACGTGAATCACCTGTTAAGCCTTGATATATTTATATTTAAATAGATGGGTCTTCTATAGGAATGTTATGCTGACATCTGCTATGTATTTGAGACAATTTGTCTGTCTGTTCAAGAATGTCTCTTAATGGTAAGGACTAGGATCAGCAAATTTGGTATATAGCTCTCTTATCATAACTTAAAGCAACATAAGAGTTTGGTTGTGCCAGGAAAACAGGATGTGTCTGGATGGGATTGTTTCTCATAAAATCAAACAGAAGAGAGACAGAATCACCGAATCAAGTACAGTCCTCACAATTGATATAACTGAGGGAATGTTGAAAGACGGTTTAGGGTGGGCATGGAAAATATCACCTTTGCCTGCCGGCTCCAGCACAGAGCTGTCACAGCAGCTCCATTCTAGGGGAGGGGGGCTGTGGCATCTCTGGGCTGGGGAAGGGGGTGCCTCCCTCTCACCCCTAGCTGCATCTGCTCCATGCTGGGGTCAGAAGAAGGTGTGCTCTCCCCCCACCCCGGCCAAGGGAGCCAACCTGGAGCTTCCCTGTAGCTGCTGATGCTGCCAGAGACAGGTGGTCCTTCTGTGGCTCCCATCCAGCCTAACCTGGACCTGCCCCAGCCAGGGGACATGCACACTCCCCCAGCTGTGTCCTCTCGTGCTGCTGCAGCCATGGAGAGGCACTTCTCACCTGGCCCCAAGCTGCTGTGTTGAGGTTATTTTCCAAAAAACAAAAATTGAGTTAAGGACCTGAGCAATGCTAGAGTAATCTTCTAGTGAATGTATAAAGTAAGGAACTGCATTTCTTGCCTTGCAGTTTCCTATAACATTAATAGAAATATGTGTAATTAAGATCTAACTGTGCTCCTAGTTCACTGATCACTAACAAGAATAAAAGGAAAACTAGCATAGATTAACAGTGACTTGTTTTGAACTGTTACATACTGTGAAATAAATGCTACCTGAAAAAGTAGTGGGTTTTTTATGGTCTGGAGAGTTAACTTGTCAGTCTGTAGTCATGGAAATATAGAAATGTAATACAGCTTCAGGTAGTGCCTTTGGCAGTGAGTCCTGTGGTTTCCTTGGTGATAACACTGGTAATGATCCAGAAGGGGAGATGTCAGACTCCCATGGTATGCATGATTGGAGGTACAAGTTGCTGCAAAACACACAGTTAATAATCTAGAGAGCAATACAGAATAGCAAATTTGGCTACCTGAGCAAGGTTAAGTGGCAAGTACCGTAAATTAGCGAATATAACACTCGTCTAAGTATTATGCACAGTTTTTCTATAGTGTGTTAAAATATATATTAGAATACCCGTGGATGTACATAACCTGCATAGACTTCTGCTGCCTTCATAAAAGAATCTGGTGGTCTTTGATGTGGTTGTTACTTGCCAGTTATAAAGATTGAAGATAACGACATCATGCAGCCCAATAATACTGGGTCTTGTTATACTGGTAATGAATCATGGCTGAGGCTGCTGAGCTATAAAAAGCAATAAGCACTACCCTATTACCAGTATATAAGACCTACCAACCACAACGTCTTAAAACTTTTTCAGTTTATAACAAATATAGTCCAAGAAAATATTTTTAATGATGCCTAAACGCAAATCATATACAGCCGATTTTAAACTATCTGTTGTTACATATGCAAAAGAAAATTGCAATAGAGCAGCAGGCAGAAAATTTTCCGTTAATGAAAAGTCTGTTCACGAGTGGAGAAAAGAAGATGTTGATTTTATTATGTTGATCTTGTCGTCTTGTAACATGAGTAAAAATCAAATTGCATAAGACTTAGACATGTATACCACAGGTAGGTAAAAACATGAATAACCGGTGGGCTATATACGCTAATTTACAGTACTTAACTTCTTAATTTAACTCTTTATTTATGTCATTCTGGAATGGAAATTGAAACCCTGTATTGTGGTGTTAAAAGTCTACCGATCCTAATTAATACACTGTCTATGCGCTGTCATAGGAGCACCTTATAATTTAGGAAAGTTTATGCTATAGTAACTAAATGAATAGTTTTTAGTGAATAGATTAATTTAGCGGTATGAGAATGGCAACTGTTGTTGTGCCAGTGAAAGGTCAAACTTCAGCTATAGGGAATCCTAGCCCACACAGAACTAGTAAGAATGAAGATGTGAACTTTGTGTTCATCTGTCTCCAAGAGCCTCCTAGCCACGTCCAGGAAGAGAACTTAAGGATGAATAAACAAAAGAAACAGGAAATAGTTTCCTGTAACTTTAGTAGCCTTAACTTCTTTTGAGTCTAAGCTGAGCTGCTTGCTACCTTGATTAACACAGGAAAATTCATCAGCATTTAATGACTAAATGGCAGCAACTGTACTAAACCTGGAACCACTAACTACTAGTGAACTTAAATAAGAGATGCTGCTAAACCATGTTACTCTCAGTTCTACATCAGTCACACACAACATGATTGGTTTGTGCAGCTGTTGTTGAGGTCTCCCTCTCTTCAGCCTGCCGGGAACATAAGGGTATTCTCTCTCTGCAGTTGCCTCTGTATTTTTATCTCATATTTTTCTATGATTCTGTGCTGCTTTTTTTTAAAGTAGGCAAACTGAAACTTCAGTTCTAGCTAATGTCTACTTCAGATCAGGCTACAGATTAATAGTTCAGATCTGCATCTTGTAGTGGAAGGTATACACACCCAGAATTGCTTTAATGTGCATAGCTAAATGTAGACCAGAGCAGAAAGAAAGCATTGTCTGGTGAGCAAGGCAGAGAACTGGATGTCAGAAGATTTGGGTTTCATATTTAGTTCAACCACTGATTTGCTGTGGGACCGTGGGCAAGTCATTTTACCTCTGTGCCTCAGTTTATCCATAGATATTATTGGAATAACATCCTTACTTGGAGTGTTCAGGTTTAATTTAATAATAGGTTGTAAAACATTGTAAGAGTCTTGTGTAAGGTGCTATAAAATGCAGTATTAATTCTTAATATTTCCTGGACAGATGATTGTCAAGTTTTTCTTACTGCCTATTAGTGTTTAATCTAAATTAATTCATTAAAATATATATCTTGTTGTTGAAAATTTGTCATTGCTATGTAACTCCTTAACAGACTTGGTCCCCAGTAGGGATGTTAGATCTCATTTAATTCAATAATGATGTAACCACTCAGGATGTAAAATTTTGATTTGGCTAATTGAATAGTCGATGCAGTTTGTGTCGATTATTTGATTAGTCAATAAGGGTGCTTCCACCTTTGGAGTGTCTACACTTCAAAAGTTAAGGTGCAGCATGGTGCACGGGGCTAGCAGGGGACTCAAGCAGTTCCCCCCCCTCCCCCCACTGGCCCCATGTTCCCCACAGAATTTCAAAGCAGCAGTGCCGCATGGCACCTGGCATCAGCTGGGGACTATTGAGTCCCCAGCTGATCCCAGGCTCCACGCGGTGCTGTCGCTTTGAAGAACCCCCTTATCTCCTCCCCCCTGCCCTTTGCTACCTTTTTCTCAGAGGCAGCGGGAGGGAGGGGGAAGCAACTAGTCGACTAGCTGATAAGCATTTGTTTATCAGATAGTCGACTAGTCGTTCACATCCCTAGTAACCACACCAAAACTTAGTGGTTACACAATTATTTGATGATCCCCGGGGGGTGGGGCTAGCAGCCAGTGCTCTCGTGGCCCCACTCCTGGGGAGCTTCAGGAGCCAGTCCACGAGAGGAGCAGTTTTGATACAGATGCGGCAGTGTGGGGTGGCAGTAGCCTCCTGCCTGCGGGAGGCCCAAGCTCCCCACAGACAAAGGCGGCACTGGCATCCCATCTTGCGTCCCTCCTTCCCTCCCCCGTTGTCTCTGATACAAAGGCAGAAAGGGGGAGGGGAATACATGTTGTTGTTTGGATTAACCTATAAGTCCAGGCTTATCGATTAATCATTTACGTGACTACGCTAACATCCCTAGTCCACAGACAATGTTCAACATGGGCCTTCACAACTTCATCTCTCTCGTTGCTTGCATTGATGCCTTAATTTTAAAAAGTTTTTAGTAATTTTCCAATGTAGATTTTGGATCCAATTCAAACTATAGTTGTACCCATTCAGCTGAGCAGAATGGAGCCTTAATTTGGTGGGAAGCAATGGATATATCTGTGGCAGGGATATCACTAGCACAGATGTTTAGTTTTCTAGTCAAAAGACTGTATTTATCTATGAAATAAATAGCCAATCTAAAATTGTCCCAAAATATTACTTGTCTGAATTTTTTCTCCCATATTGTATCTTGTGATTGGAAAAGAGACTTAAATGTAGAGAGAATAAATTCGCAAAGCGTTCTAGAGTTACAGATACAAGAATTGTTTGTGCCACTTATTTTGTGTTGAAAATTGCAAGAAAGTACCAAGTGGCACCCTGTAAGTAATTACTCCGGATTCTTATGCCTGAAGCAATGATCCATGAATAGTGATGTTGGATAGCTTCTCTTTGGCCCATGGTGTAGGAGTAGTGAGTGCCACAGGGACTGTTCCTGCTCAGGCACAAACCATGCTAGTTACAAGCATTTTCACACATTGTTGTAACCAGCTCAGTTTGGTTGCTTCTGTATGAACAAGAATTTTCAAAATCCCATACTACAATGTACTGGCCAGAACCATGCAGTTGACTTCCTCTTCTGCTTGAAGACAAAATATGAACATTGGTCTGGAAAGGGAGGATGTATCTTCAGTTGGTGCCAGAAGTCCTCTGTCCTTGCTTGCACTCTCTCGTGAGGAAGTGTAGTAGAAGTGGCCACTTGGAGTTTGGGATTGGAAGGGAGGAAAAAATGGTGACCCTAAGTGATGGTAGATGGGTTGACTTTCCAAATCCCTTTATCAGAAGGTGACCAATGGTTTAAGCCAATAATGATCTCCTCCAGTTTTCTGTATAAAACCTCTTGCATCAGAAAATAAAATCAAGTTATGTATAGCTTAAATATACAGCTGCTTCAACAGAGTTTCTTCTTTTTGCAGAATTGTTTCCTGATTTCATAACTGGAGAAGCTGAAACAGTGACAGATTTACTGTTGAGGGGTGGAAGGTGTGAGTGAGTGTTCCAGCAACAAAGTAGGTTTATTACAAAATTAAGTCTCTACATGGAGAAAGGAGAAGCATCTCTCTTTGAGACTTGAGTTATACTGTATAGCAGGGCTTTATAGCGCTAGCATGGCTGCCTCACAATTTAAGTGCTTACTGTGTAATTGAGTTTTGCTCACCAGCATTGTTAGTGTGCAAGCCTGGCAATATGTAATACCTTTGAACCTGTATTTTGTATACTGATTCAGATAAAAAATTCTGCAACTCCTCTAGTTACTGGATTGGAAGTGTACTTGGCTGGTTTTATACTTCCCGGTCTTGTTTACTTCTGCTTTACAAGGTGTGAACCCATTCTGCAGAATGATGCTAAATGTCCCAGAAAGAAGAAACACCTAAAATATTTTTTCATAAATGTTTGTAATGCTTCTTTGAGTACTAACAATCATTAATATTTGCTAGGTCAGAGTCCATGTTTTCCCTTCAGTGCCTTATTTGGGCATTGTGTTGTCAGCTGTGGTCAGAGTAGTATCTAATATTTTTTCCTACTAGAACCGGGGCAGTTATTCTGTTAATGCCACATATCTTTAAAATTTACTTGAAGTGGTTGCTTTTTGAAAAGCAGAACACAAAACCTGTAAATTAAATGAAAAGGATATTCTGAATACTTAGTCTAAAACATTGGCAGCTAATGGGAGGTGCATAACAATGATAACTTCTTGACAATGGAATATTCACTGAGTTACTGGAAACTGCCCATAGATGAGATTAGATTCAAGGAAAGTCTTTTTTGTTAATGCCAAAAATCTTTAAAATGGTATTAAACTGCAGTGTAATGAATTTTAAAACGCGTAATTGGTTTTAAAGTGTTTACTCCAACCCACAACTTGCTTTTTTTTAGATTGAGAATCACGAGAAAAATGAGTTGCTGTTTAATTGTATTAACCTGATCTACAATAAGCTGTGAATTTTGTGAAAGAACAGCATGTTCATGCAATTAAAATGGATACCTCTAAGCAAGGAAGGGGAACAAGATAGTTCAGTCTCAAACTCAAATGTTGGGGGCGAGAGAATCACTACAATGAGGTGATCCCCAAAGTTTTTGAAGGATTCAGTCTAAAGAAGGATTTGCATTTTGCACTGAAAAAATCTGCAGCTGTTTGAGTTGTTACAAAGTTCAACATTGTAAAATATTAACCACCCTTACAACTTGTACATATTGCAACACCAGTTCTCTGCCTTCTATGCCAAATCCTGATTAGTAGGTCAACTGAAGCTCCCACTTCCACTTTTTTAGTTTTTATTCCATGGTGTCCTGTGACAAAGGGACTTATTTGTGAGCTGAGACACCAAAGGAAATAAAAATAGCTGATTAAGTTTCAAAATATGACTTCCCCAGTCTGAGGGAAGTGTGTCCTCTTAATGGGCACAAGGCATTTCAGACGCAAGCACAATTTTAAGTAAGATTTTCTGGTTTGATTTGTCCCAACATCTTCATTACTCTGTAAATATACAGCTGCTTCAACAGAGTTTCTTCTTTTTGCAGAATTGTTTCCTGATTTCATAACTGGAGAAGCTGAAACAGTGACAGATTTACTGTTGAGGGGTGGAAGGTGTGAGTGAGTGTTCCAGCAACAAAGTAGGTTTATTACAAAATTAAGTCTCTACATGGAGAAAGGAGAAGCATCTCTCTTTGAGACTTGAGTTATACTGTATAGCAGGGCTTTATAGCGCTAGCATGGCTGCCTCACAATTTAAGTGCTTACTGTGTAATTGAGTTTTGCTCACCAGCATTGTTAGTGTGCAAGCCTGGCAATATGTAATACCTTTGAACCTGTATTTTGTATACTGATTCAGATAAAAAATTCTGCAACTCCTCTAGTTACTGGATTGGAAGTGTACTTGGCTGGTTTTATACTTCCCGGTCTTGTTTACTTCTGCTTTACAAGGTGTGAACCCATTCTGCAGAATGATGCTAAATGTCCCAGAAAGAAGAAACACCTAAAATATTTTTTCATAAATGTTTGTAATGCTTCTTTGAGTACTAACAATCATTAATATTTGCTAGGTCAGAGTCCATGTTTTCCCTTCAGTGCCTTATTTGGGCATTGTGTTGTCAGCTGTGGTCAGAGTAGTATCTAATATTTTTTCCTACTAGAACCGGGGCAGTTATTCTAAAAAGCAGATGGTTTTCCGTACAGTGCAGATTGTATATCAAAGGATGTTTTTTAACTCGTGATAATCCTTGGATAAGGGAGGGTAGTGTTCTCTCTTTCTTGCCTCAGTTCTTCCATATACAGGCAGTCCCCGGGTTACGTACAAGATAGGGACTGTAGGTTTGTTCTTAAGTTGAATCTGTATGTAAGTCGGAACTGGCGTCCAGATTCAGCCGCTGCTGAAACTGACCGCCAGTTCTGACTTACATACAGAATCAACTTAAGAACCCCAAGCGTCCCCAAGTCAGCTGCTGCTGAAACTGACCAGCGCTGACTACAGGAAGCCCGAGGCAGAGTTGCTCTGCCCCGGGCTTCCTGGAATCAGCTGCTGATCAGTTTCAGCAGCCGCTGACTTGGGGACGCTTGGGGTTCTTAAGTTGATTCTGTATGTAAGTCAGAACTGGCGGTCAGTTTCAGCAGCGGCTGAATCTGGACGCCAGTTCCGACTTACATACAGATTCAACTTAAGAACAAACCTACAGTCCCTATCTTGTACGTAACCCGGGGACTGCCTGTATGTAAATACACATTGGGAGTTCGGTGTTTTGTTTTTGGATCTCTCACTCGCCATCTGTTACAGCCTTAGACCACTGCTATGGCTTTTTTCTGCCTCCATCCTTAATCTGTAAAATGGGAATATTGACTCTTGTCCTCCATTGTGAAGAACCTACACAAAGTATTTCGATATATTTCTTACTCTCATAATTGTTATTGCAATAGTATGTTTAACATTTACCAATTTAATTATTGTTTAACAAATGGCTACCCTAATTTTTCTTCTAGTTTTTAATAATGCACAGAAATAGCTGTCTATTCTGTTCTGCAGTAACCTGGGGACTAAGGTGAAAAATGTCCCAATTTTATAGGGAAAGTCTTGGTATTCAGGACTTTTTCTAATATATGTGCCTATTACCGCATACCCACTGCCCCAATTTTTCACTCTACTTGGGACCTTATGTTCAAATCATAGTAGGATTGAGTCTGGTCCTGATAGAGTAACTGAGTTCCATTCACTTAACTATGTGGTGGAGGGCGACACTGGGATAAAGACCTTACAAAACAAGTTTTGTTGCCTCCTCTTCGTTGGTGTACAAGCCCCTGTGGCATTTTTGTGAGAACAAGGCTTTGTCTCATTGCTCTTAGCCAGAATTTGTTGCTGTTTCACACTGTATATTCTTCAGAGCTCTGCTTGTCTCTTGTCCATCTCTGAGGTGACATTTTAGTGGTGCTGTACCAAATGTATATAATTTTTAATACTTCAGGATCCTTTGCAATGTCAGTGTAACTAGTATTAGAGTTGCATGTAGCACTGTGACTAGCTTATGTTTGCTTGCTCTCCAAATACATTTCTTGTGGAAGCAAGAGCCCCCAGTATGTGCTTTTTGGTAAACACATGAAATGAAGTTGAAATGTGAAACTTTGCTGCTAGGATGGAAACAAAAGCAAGTGTAATGGTGCTTTACAACTTATTTGAGAAGCCAAATTCCAAAGGTCCAGTTCTGAGTGGTGCTTTACAACTTATTTGAGAAGCCAAATTCCAAGGGTCCAGTTCTGAGCACCAAGTTTTCCATAGTTCTGGAAAACTTTGACTTAATTTTACATGTGGACTCTTAGCAGGAGACAGCTTTTCAAAAGTAAGTTTGTTCCAAGAAAAGATTATTACCATCTGTGAATTTCACAGTACAGAGAATTGCTGAATGCATCTCATGATTTAAAAAAAAAAAAAAGATGATACTGTGTTACCTCTAGTTTAGCAGTACTCACAGCACCCAAAGAAAAGCAGCTTTAGCTGATGGCTTTTTCATATCTTCTGCAGAATACTAAAGACTGTACAGGATAAAAAGGTAAAATAACTTTACCTAAATACAAGTTAATTTAAATGCATTTTACTCCCATTTTGTGTGTACATACACAGTAATGTTTTGATATGGAAGCTGTATGCATTTTGCTTTCAGTTATTTGCAGAAGTGTCTTAATTGGGAAATAGATAACTTAGATACAGTAATTGAATTCAACTAAGCTCCATGTTACTTCCTGGAAAGCCAGTTACTGAGTGAGGCTGCATTGATTATTCTGAACTCAGCAATGAAAAGACATATCTGAAATATTTCCTTCTAAGTGCTCCTGCTTGCAAAGCATTTACACAGAACCCAAAAGGACTGACTGTTGGAGATATTGCAATTCCATTCTCACTTGGCCCCTGATATTGCAACTCCATTCTCACGTGGCCCCTGGTAAGTCTGTACAAGTGTCCTTATTTTATTTTCCATTTATGCCGGAATTATCTAGTTCAGATTGTTTGCCTGACAGGAGAGACAATAAGAATTATTTTCAACAAGTCAAGTAAATAATATTTTGACCAGATCCAAGGAACTTCTGCTGTTTAGACTGCAGAAAAACAAAAAAGCCAAAGCAGTACAATTATTACATAGAATAAAAACTTTACTTGAAGTTTTAAAGAGAGAATAAAATGGCATGTTACTGAGGTTTTTCTTTATTTGCGATCTGTGGTAATTTAGAGGGGAGTACCTTTTCTGTAAATTGTATCTTACAGTCAGGAAATCACAGCACTTCTGTTAATTTAGCAATGCTGTCTAGTTTTTAGCATGATTGCTTGATTTTTAAATAGTGTTACTGGAAATGCATCATTTCTTATCTAGAAACTATTCATGTTTCCTTTCATCAGCAGTGCAAAATGTAGGGAGGTACTGCCAGTATTTGATCATGCTGCATTTTCATTTGAGTCTTGTCTGCCATGTCTATCCGAATTTTTTTACTTAGTAAAATACTGCACCAGCATTTCACCTTTAAGAACAT